TGTTGCTGCTGCTGTTGCTGCTGCAGCTGCAAACACAGAAGCAGAAGAGACAATTAGGCATGTGTCAGGGGAGGGCTACGCCGCCAGCCAACCAGGAATGCTGAGGGGAATTCAAGAGCCCAACAGTGACCCTCCCGGCTGCCCCTCAACCTAACCATTCCTCACAGGTGCCAGGCCAGAAGAGACTTCCCTCGGGTCACAGAGAATCTGCGGCAGGGCTCCCCACGGTTCCTGTGTCCAGTGCCTCGACCACGAGGCCGGCGGCCTGCCCAGCACAGAAGCGAGTGGTGTCTACACTGCCCGTGACACCACAGTCAAGGAGCCACGCTGTCCGCACTGCTGGGAGAGTTCTGGGCCTGCTCTGCGCTGCTGCTGGAAAAGCCAAGTAGACACTAAGCCTGCAGGCCATGTTCCTCGTCGTGTGCAGCAGCGACGGCTCTCCGAGGGGTGTTCTTCTGGCTGCTCTGCTGGAGCTGGGGCTGCCTCCCTGTGCTGCTGATCGGAGATGTCATGCGCTGCCCCGTCCCCTCCCGCCCTGCCACCGGCTAACCCACGTGGCGCATGGGACTCCACCTCAGGTCCCTTTTTCCTGCAAAGCGTAGGACAAGAGCTGCCTAGCAGAGGGGAGATGGGTAGTCACGGACCGCCCAGAGGACACCCCTCAGCACAAGGCAAGTCCTAGTGGTGTCCCTGTGCCTCTTGGCTGGCTCGCCCAGGGTTCAACGGTGGTTTGAGTGTTGTGGGCTTTGATTACGCCGACTCTGGTCTGTGCGCTGAACTGACCCACCCCTGGAGGCACCTCCTGAATTCTGACATGCGCTGTCACAAATGTGCCCCGGGAGCTGGACTGCACGGGCTCTAAGGGCACAGACCGAGGGACCTGCCCTGGGGGAGAAGCATGCTCCCCTGGAGTCAACGTTGGCTCCAGGCCAGAAGGAACGTTGATTCGTGGGCCCAGATTCTGGAACAGGTCCGCTTTGATGAAGGGTCCCGCCCTGAGGAGACAACTGTCCAGGTAAGGGCGGGTGATGTTGCCCTAGGCACACAGGGGAGTTGCTACCACAGACTGTACCTTGAAGCCGTCGCTGGGCGACAATGACGGAGTGGAAGGGAATACCCTCTACTGGGAAGGGCCCTGGCTTAGTGTCGATCTGAGACACCTTCTGTGACAGTCTGACTGGAATGGGGAAGGCCGCGGAGGTCGGTGCCCACAAGCCAGTCTCCTTTTTCACTAGTGTGACCATCTCAAACGGCTGAGCCTTGACACATCTGGTGAACACCCTGAGGTCTAGTGCGGGTCTCCAGCCTGGTCTTCTC